ATAGGGCTATACAAAAATAAGTTGAATTGAATTGAATTTCTGAACCTCAATTGCAGTTAGTGAGGTGCTCTTTGGTGAGGGGGCGGTCTTCAAACACACGGCACTCTCTCAAAAAGCCTGTTGAAACGCTCAGTGAGGTTTATTGAGACATGTCGTAAATAATAACAGCATTTCATCTAATACAAGAGTGCCTTGTTTTTTTGTATTTTAATAGCTTTAGCACTTTTCCATTTTAAGATGGAAAAGTGTAGCAGGGATCATCACCTCTGCTCAACCAAGCTTTCAGCTGCAAAGGGGGTTACGGAGGCTACTGAATATATTTTTAGTGGGAGTGGGAATCAGAGCACCGAAGGGAAAACCTACGTAGACATAGGAAGAACATGCAAACTCCACTCAGGAAGGCCCCAGTGTTGACCAGTATTCAAATCAAAGGGTACCGGCTCAAAAAAGTCTATGAGAACATGCACTGACATACTTGCTATACCACCGCAGGCCAGCGGGGGTGGACCCAGAAAGAGAATTATCCAATGCTTTTGTATCGTGTCTTCTTTCCTCTCCAAAAAGTCTTGATGGTCCAAAAGTTGGCTCTTGGCCCAAAACTACGTTTGATAATATTTGATGTCTATGATAGGCTTTTTCTGTGAGGATAAACACATTGTATTCTTTATTAGACAACAAATAGTTAGGTATTCCATCCATCCATCCATTTTCTACCCCTTAATCCATTTCTGGGTTTGGAGTGGCAGTCAGAGATGCCACCCAAGTCACATAGCACCAGCTCCTCACTGACCCTCTGCAGGTGGTGAGTCCACAGGAGGATAGTCAGGTTCTCATATCTATGAAATCCTCTCAGTTTAAGATGAAACATTAATAAAAATAAAATTGGAAAATGAAAGTGTAGACATCCCAACAAAACAACAATGAAAATACACACCTTGGCCTTATTGCTATAAAGGCCACATAGTTAAAAGAAACTTACAAAACTAACTGCTTATAGTCTAGCAAAAACGGTGTCAGAATGAGTAATACATTTGGTATAGTTATTGGAAATTAACGTTTATTTTAAATCATTGAACAATTTTGTCACAAACATGCATCTTTAGCTTTCAGGGTAAATCTACCTGAAGAGCATCCGAAGGGAACAATAAAAAAATCTCAAGGACTTGAAAAGGCAAGGTGAAGGCATGAAACAGGGCTAAAAGCAGTCAAATTAGCAGATCAAAAACACTTACACTTGCCAACAATATCATTTAACCCACAGTGGTGCAGAAAGGCTGAACTTTGGGTCCTCATTATCTGTACCACCACATCCTCCCGGCTGCCAGGCTGGATACTGCGAAAATCTGTCTTTTAAATGTAAATAGACCACTTTTCATATCCAGGTCTGGTGTTTATAAAATTTGACTGTATTTTTACATATTTGTTTTTTTCGCCACGTTGACTGTGGTGAGATTTTGTTTATATGGTAAGCTGCGAGTGTTTACTTTTTCAATTGTGTTTTATTCAAATGCGAATGGGTCCCCAAATGAGTGGAATTGCCAAACTATCCATGACAGAGAGCAGATACTGATGCATTCCTGTACACAAGTGAAACTCTGAAGATTAGAATGCCATTCAAATGTCCATTTCCCGTAATTGCCAGACTATAAACTGCTATTTTTCTTTTAACCTTATATTATTAGCAATGCAGCCAATGTATGTATTGATATTGTGGTGGAGTATCTTCTGGGCGCAGGAAAGACTTGTACAGAACTATGTCAGCATAATAACAAAGATAGTAAAGTATAAGATCTCCAAATTTAGCATAAAAAAGAAGCAAGACTACATGAAGTGTAAAATCCCTGAGGCATACTTCACAGCATAATAACATACTGTATATTCCAGGGATGTATATCTCCACCACTGAGGCCGATTCGATACATCTCGATACACTACCAGCGATTCGATACATTAACGATACACTGAAGTCCCTGTCGATACGATTCGTTCCTATTCACGATACGATGCGATTCAAAGATGATTTAATAACGATATGACTGATTTGCAACGGGGTTCGGTTTGACATGATGTGATCCTGTTCGATACAGTTAGTATGAGAGTTTATTTGCCCACATCAGGTTTCTTACCTCAAATTCTGCTTTACTCACTATGAGGGATGTATTTAATATTTGGTCATGGTTATTAGAATTTGTGAACCGTCTTTGTGTTTTTGAAAAGCGCTTTATAAAACCGATGTATTATTATTATTATTAATTTTATGGAGCAAACCAAGAAATCCTATTTGAAAAAAACATTATTCAGTATGTACAGAGTATTTATTTATTTGAATCCTTCATTCTCTAAAACGCTGTAGGGCTGGATATCTTTGGAGATTAAGTAGACTAACTAACTGCTGTAGCAGCAAATTTCTCCTGTGTGATAAATTATATCTTATCTTATCTTATCATAGCATAGCAGTTAAGGCCTGGGAGCGGGCAGAGTTAGCTGCTTGAGGCGTGTTTTTACCAGTGGGGGCGGGTCCCAGCTCAAAAGTGGCCAAAATGACGTGCGCTGACATGCTTGCAATACCACCCCGGGCCAATGGGGGTGGACCCAGAAGAAGAATTAGCCAATGCTAACATATAGCACCTCTCAAAAACGTCTTTACAGGATGGTCCAAAAGTTGGCTCTTGGCCCAAAGCTCCGTTCCACATGTGTGTCAATGCTGAGGGGGGTGAATTTTTTTGGTCCACTCTAGTTTACTCGCTGTGAATTTCTGAAGTCTCTCGTTCAAATGAATGGAGCTGCGCCGGCTGATGCATGCGCAGATTCGTTTTTTCACAATTTTCTTGTGGGCGGGACCACTCGCGGCCATTTTGGATAGCTCCAGTAGAGCACATTTTTTGGCCCATTAGTTAGAACGGCGGAGATAGGCGTGACTCTGTCCGTTAATATATACAGTCTATGGTTTTACCAAAGAAGTTTGTGACAGACCTATTGCTCGCGTCGCCAACTTTGCTACCGCTCTGTGTGGCTGGTGCTTCGGTATAATCCAAAGGAGAGGAGGGGGTCGCAGCCGCGGAGATATCCACGCCGTGCCGTCTTCTCAGATGCGTTGCCAGGTTCGTTGTGCTACCCACGTATTTGATAGGCGGCGCCCGGCATTTCCGCACGCTTGACTTGTTTTTTTCGGGCCATTCAAAATCTCCTTGCCGTTTGTGTTGTGAGCGTTCACGCTTGTTTTGGACTCGAAGCTTACGTCAGAGCTCGAGGAAGCAATGTTGCATTCAGGTTGCCTCGGAAATATGACAGGGCAGCGAATAGAACAATCGATTTAACCATGGAATCTACCGATGCAGACAGGCTGGAAGAGATGCACCGCAAATTCACACCTAAGTTATATCCGATGCACCATGAATGTATCCGTGTAGTTGCATCGCAGACGTTTGTATCGGACCACCGATGCGAATCGGTGAATCTTCACATCCCTAGTATATTCCAGTGCAAGATATACAGTAGTTGTATTTATATATTGGTACTTGTTAGCAGCATGAGGGTTTGACAAAGTGACTAAGTAAGGTGACAGTGACAGTGTCTAGTAAATAATGGACGTTAATTTCTCACTGCTGCAGTGTCCCTCGCAACACTTTTCTGACATAATGTTACTAAACGATGCTTCATGTATTCAGCGTCAAATGTCTTACAGCAGGAAGATCACATTAGCCACAGGCCGTTTGAGGTGGTGGCTACACTGTTTCCCTGTCCTTTTTCGGGGGTGTCAGTGAGCGTGCATTCTCTGGCACAATTTCCAACTGCACTCCCCCTCGAGGAGCCAGAGACGGGCTATCACAACAATTACCCTGACAGCTCTTTTCTAAAGTGCTCTTGATTTATTTGATTTAGCCAAGATGAATGGCCCTCCCTGGTAGCCGGCCCGGGTGTACTGCACAGGCCACTGCTCACACAAGTACAGGTGTGTATGCTGCTCCAACATGTGTAATGATATTGTAGGAGATGAATGCAGAAGGCCAAAAACATGCACCTACACCCTCGCAAATCACTCTCCTCCACATTCCCTACCTGGATTTATATGGCTATACATTAGCAGGAGGATGATAAGTTCAGGCAGGCACTTACGGAGAGCTGCACCGGTGCAGGTTCAAGACCGCACGTAGTGACCCAGAAAGATGGCACTCCTCAAAAGTTTTATCTGTGTGCACTTTGGAGTAACTTTCAACAGAGGTGGATTTTTTACCTTCTTGCAACCAGGATAATCCCATACAGAAGTCTTGTGAGAGGGTTGGCCAGGAGGCTTTTACAACATGCATTAGGGCAAGGGTGGGCACTTATTGTGTTCAGGGGCCACATTGGAATATCGCCCTATTATGGATTTTGTATAAAATTTTGCACTCACAAAAAAATCTGCATAAAATCGTTTAAATAAATATGTTTTTAGGTATTTTACAAATATAAAGATATCCAGTGTTGGATGTCAGTGGCGCAATTATAAACGGCGACAGGTCAATGATTGTCTGTCAGAATGTATAATACATTATACTTTGAGCTATATGTGATATTCCTGTGATGGATCTGGATTTTATTTCACAGATTAGGGTGCCTTAGAGACAACGCCACCTGCTGTCACAATTTGTATGAAAATGTATGTGAGAGTAGAAAGGCCCCCTAGTCCTGATTTATTGCTACATCGGCATGTTTGGGTGTTTTGAAAACCTCCATATTCCAGCGCCAGTGTTTGTTGTGTGGATAATGTTTACTCTCTCAAACTCTTTTATTATATATTCATATATAAAATACAACCTTGCTAATTGCCTTGCTCTTGGTGCAAAAAGGCATGCATAAAAAGAAAAAGAAAATCTCCATGATAATTCTTAAAATTAGTACTGTGTACGAGTGCACTAAACACACTAAGCATTTAGTGTTTTACATACAGTACAAATAAATGAGTAATAACAGTGAGCATGTAGATGATCACGTACATGCACACAGCCTGTTGGTAAAGCATGACTCTGCTGCTGGGGGACACCTGGCCTCAGCTCGTGCCAGTTGCCAAAGCAGCGTTCCGGAGCTCCAGTGTTGTTGGACTGATGCCTGCCCATCTGCCCAGGCTGACAGCTCTCTCTCCCACTACATGTGTCCAAGAGGCCGGATGTGCTATCATGTCCCTGGCACGCCTCTCTAACATGTCACGCTGGTGTGGCAGAGCCCGGGGCCCCGGCCTGTGGTGTGGCCACTGCCCTGAACTCAGCCACACGCATCCAACACCAACTGCTGACCAACTACCGCGGAGAGAGCATCTTGTCCAGGATGAAGTGAGCGTGTTCGGGCAGCGCAGAGGTGGAGGAGGCCTAACGGTCATTAACAGACGCACACTTGGCAGACGCAGAAATGGATCTGTGTTGGGAAGAGAATTATACACATTATGTTTAAATAAACCTGTTTTAAAATCTGATGCAAACAAAACCCATACATTTAGTTCAGGGTAAAGTATACTTGATAATGGGCAAACAAAATTACTGACCTAGCTAGTGAGAAACACCTTCTTCTATCCATTCTTTTCTAAATTATATTTTTAAAGGAATAAATCTTTGGTAGTTCCTGATGGAAATGTTTTCTGCCATAAAAATACGACTGCTTTTAGTCTTAATAAGACCAAGCAATAAGACATCACTTTTCAAAAGGAGGTTAGAGAAGCATGTCAGGACCCTAGGCTGTAGCAGTCCCTTCCCATTAAAGTGCAGAAACGAACATAATAAATTAGGACTTGGCACCCCAGCCTGTACAGCCCCGACAATGGGAGCAGAAGACGGATAACATGCAGAGCATATTTGGTGTGGCCTGGCGCAGATGGTCCTGGAGGTGGGGGAGAGCCTGGCCAGCTCTCAGGCCCCTCAGGGTACTCACTCTGAGTGGTCATTAACACGGGAGTTGCTTATGCCAGCGAGAAACCGGCCGGACGAGCAATAGTTAACTCAAGAGCCACCAGGCAGTTAAACAATGCTCTGAACAGGCCTGCATTCTTGTTCAGGTGCCAAGGTGGGGAACACATCACGAAGATCTCAGGACACAGGGGGCCTTATGCTGAGATGCTGGACAAGGGTTTATAGTGCTTTGGTTGTACGTAAGCCTACACCAAGTCTGGCCTTAGCCATCTGTAAACTCTGATCAATCATCAGAGTCCTGAAATGGATTTTGTAGGATGGTGTGGTACAACCAGGCTAGCCTACATCAGACTTATGACCACAAGTCTTAAGGCACGAGCTTAGATAGTTCTCCTGTTCAAATACTGCCATTGTGTCCTTGAGCCAGACACTTAACTGGCCTTGCACAGTGTCAGCATACACTGGTGAGTGGTTCGTTGATGTAAAGCTCTTTGAGTGTTGTGAAAGGGAGAAGAGCGCTTTATAAACGTAATCATTTATTTGCACGTGTTTAGCTGAATCCATGTGGAATAAGGGTGTTGTATCTATCTATCTATCTATCTAACGCATAAGCACATTTATTTTTTGCATCAACTGTTAAAGCTGGGGTATCAAACTTTAAAACCACAAAACCTGATGACCTGCACTAGAACTAGAACTTTGCCCTACTTTGCTCACTTTATTAACTGTATATAAAAATGCCTTGATTGCACATAAGATACTTCTTCCTGTCTTTTATGCCTTTGGTTATGTCAAATGTACCATGTAAATGTCTCCACTGTGGAACCATACAGTTTTATCTTATCTCTTATCTTTGAAAAAGGTGGAATCATGTGATACAAGCAGTTACTTGATCTAAAACAAAACTAGCTTTCACTTGTATGCACTTTTTTTGTACTGGAGTTAAAAAAGAGGAACACCCTATGCACAACTTTTGCTTCCAACTTTCAAAAGGTTCCTAAACAAAAATACAGCAGTCACATCGGCAACATAACATGGAAACAGACCTATCCCACACTGTTTTACTGGAAAGGAGGCAACACATCATGGAAGACCTTTGGAAGGAAAAAGACATTGTTCCACTGCCATCGGGGAAAGGTGAATTTCTAGTCCGCTGCGCCCCATCGCTCACTTTGCTGAATCTAAGGTTACGGCCGGTGCTGTCTGGCAGTTATCCATATACTGTGATTCATGGCTTGTCCGTGCGCACGTGTGGGTCTATGTGCACGGACAAACTGTGGACAGGTATGACAGCCTGACCCCTACATGCTACCTCGGAGAGCCCAGTGTTGCTTGTCATAACACGGACTGGCTGGGCGACCGCGGGGCCAGGAGAGCGACCGAGCCAATGGCCATCCGGAAATAATGGAGACTGGCAAGAGGGCAATGAGGGGTCAGCCGGTCCGAGCCCGATGGGGGGGCTGAAATGGGACATGTATGACAGGCCGTGCGCTGTAGCTGTATAGACGCACGGGAGGATGGAAGTGTGAGGAAGAAGAGAGTTTTAGTGGGGGGAGGAGGGAGCGATAATGATGTGGGAGCGAGTGGGTCAATCAAAGAACAGACAGCCAAGATAAAAGAGCAGGAGACGCAGAAGAGCTAGGTGCCGCGCATTACCTCCTCTAGCCTCTGAAGACGGCACAAATTATGCACAAAGGCAGCCAGGAAAGAGATTTTTCTGTCTGCACCCGACACCTTCAAACCAGAAAAATAAGCCTTACTTCTAACAAGATGGACCGCCCAAGCAGCAGCTAAGGCCTGATTATTTTATTTTTTACCTGGATAGACGCATTCAATTTACCATGATAAAGGGTAATGCTTTTGCAGAGTGCTGTCGAAATATTCATGAACGATACTTTTGAATAATAATTTTACAAATTGGGTGGGTTAAAACTAACACAGTATTCTTGTTTTACTACACTATACGATTAAGCGTTTTACATGTATTCAATATTTCATGATGTAGTTCACTAAAGAGTGCATATACTGTATCACAAATAAATCTTAATAGGTTGTGTGTTGTGACGTCACATGCAGTATTTGTCATCAGCAAATTGAAGCCAAACCATGCTGGATGTAAAGTTGTCATTTGGAGCTACTGTATATGTGCCACTTTTAGAATCTCATAGCAACCGAAGAACCAATTAGGAGTGAGGTTGGTCCCTAACTGCTTGCAATGTTTAGTATGTTTGCCAGCAGCTTCAAGCAAAGACGGATTTGAATAGTACTATTATTGTTTCGGTATCCCAAAGTTTACATGGCAGCTGCCTATTTGATTCCAGTTAGACAATGCAAGATTTCAGGATTTCTCTCTTATGTACATAAACTCACAATTCTGAGTGAGAGTGAGAAAGTACAAAATTAGTTTGTATCATTTCAAGATGCTGTGAACTAGTTATGTTTTTTTCCTAAGACATTTAAAATCCGATACAGAGCTTTTAAGTCTTGCCTTTGAAACGATGACCCCAATTGTCGCCGCTGCAGTTTGTTGTACGGCAAGCTTTATCTTCTGGTCAGTGTGACTCTGATCCTTCCGGAGGTGCAGCCTGCCGAGCCCGGGCGCCTGAATTCACTTAGGCAGCATTGGCCAGCAATTAAAGTCCTGGATTAAGAGTGATTGCATTTTGTGTCCTGAGGAGGCGCTGCTTGCCATCTTGAGAGGTCTCATTAACATGGCTGCTGCAAGCGCTGCCACAGGCCGTTAAAAAATAATGGAGACATTATCAACCTTAATGTCCTGTACCTGGAGTGGGGAAGATTTTATAATCACTATTGTAATGGGCCACAGGCTGCCAGTTGTGCGAAAGAGAAAGGTTGGATGCAGATAACCTATTTTTTTGGAGCGGACTCCGTGTGTGCGCTTTTGATCCGTCGCTACACGTGGGGGGACGTAAGCAGCTGGATTTCATTAATTGAGTGCTGGCAGCGTTGTGCTCTGGCGGCAGGGGTGAGTCGCAGAGCTGGGATTGGTCTCTCTCTCTCTCTCCCTGATATCATCTTCCAACCATAACTACAAATAATTATTCACTCAAATCCATTACCGGGGGTCAATCAAGTTCCCCAATCAGTTCTAAAGTCCAATTACTGGCGCCGAGGCCCGATTCTCGCCTTCCTGCACATGAAGGCCTGGCCCAAAGGCTGCCCAGTAAATTACACACCGCAAACAGAGAAGCGAGGAGGAGGAAAAGACTGAGAGAGAGACGCGCTTCCTCAGGTGGGTAATAAAGCGGAGGTACACGACGGCCTCCCCTTGGGGCGTTCCGACCGTACCAGCTAGCTAGACTCCACTGGGTTAAATAGAATTAGCCCATGCAATGAGACGCACTGTGAATGCCAACCACAGCCGCACTCGGAGGCTGATGTGATATAAGAGCATCGCCGTAAGGGCCCAGTCCAAACAACACGACCCCAGCACCAATCACAGAAGACCTATTATACTTGCTTCTCTATTAGGCTAAAGTTAGATATTTTATACTTACTTCTCAATGTGCTAAAGTATACCTCAGAGATTATCTACTTAATTCTAGCGTCTTTATTATGCTAAAGTAAGAGATTTTATTCTATTTTAGTAAAGAGTTTTTGTTCATTTATCCTGTGCTGTGTGCTCCTCATTCCGACTGTTCTGTAACTGGTAATGCAACACTGAAATTTCCTCACTGTGGGACGAATAAAGGATCTCTTAATCTTCATCTTGTGCAGTGTTCTTTCCTTGCTAAACATGTAGGTCGTTTTTATTTATGACTTAAAATGCATTTATTCAAAATTTTATTTTTACTGAAATAATAACTGAACATTATTAACATGCAGCATGGATATTAAGAGGTTACTGTGGCGACCACGAAATGTTATACATAATTTAAATACAATTCTCTCCTAATTGATTCTGAAGTAATATTATGCCATAGTTTTTAGCCTTTGATGAGACTGTTTATGTTTCAGGCCAAAACTAGAAAATTACACACTGCAATCCCAGCCACATGATTGTAAAGCATGTAATTTCACCTGGATCATGTGTCTCCCATTCTTGGGGGCCCTATAAAGACCTTGGGGGCTCTATGGTTTCCTCAATCATTTGCTGGATCACTCTTTGAGTCACAATATCTACTTGAAGCTGGGAATTGAAATCTATCTCATTGGGGCATCTCCATCAAGATGCATCTTGTGAATTAATAAATACATAAAACTGCATTGCTTTCTTAAAGGAGTGAACATTAAAAGGTTTAGATTCAAGATTCAGTTTATTTTACAGATGCAGTGTAAACCACATAAGTGAATAAGTGTGCAAGACTACCCCAGTGCGCACAAGAGCTTAGCCTGCTCATTTGGTATAGGGCCGGCCCTGCTCCTCAAAATTAACAGTAAAAATAGCTTTCTTTCCCCACCTAGGCTCCTCATCAACCCACAGCGAGCAAAGAATGGCCCTCACACGATCATCTGTCACTACGTGCAGAGGGAGCAGCAGCCAACAAGGCAAAGCTGCGCGTGACAGCGGATGGATGTACAAGACCTGTAGGAGGTGAGCACTGGGCAGCGGTGTATGTTTAAGAGAGACGCAGAGGAGGGGGAGGAGGGAGCAAACAGAGCATGACCGCCTGTCACACACACAACACAATGCACTGAAACGGGACCTGGCGGGGCCTGGCTGGCATTTCCCTCACTGTTAGGATTCCCTCATGCTCTGATCTGAGCCCAGGGCAGCCAGAATGTACCTCGGATTAAAGCAACGGACACCAGGGACATTCAACTGCATTCATTCATTTGATTCTCCGATTTGTTTCGTGGGAGAATCAGCCAAGACAACTGCTGCAATTAAGTAGGGCTATACGTTATTACATTGGTTACTAACTACTATAGTCTGGCATAGATTAACTAAACCTTTTATTTCTACAAAGAAGATAATATAAATCTTCCTATACTAAAAATACATTGAATTTGAAAGTAGTTTGACTTTAATATGCTGACACAAAGAAAGCCAGTCAGTAGAAGCCTCACCATTCGACCTCATCAAAGAGCCATGTCCCTGTTCTCTGCTTACATTCAGGAGAT